CATATGCTCTCTATTTTTGTGACTTTTTTTAACTGTCCTGTTTTTATTTAATTTTGGTTCAAGCTGCTCCTGTGCAGACCAAGGCTACTAAGAAAGGCAGTAGAGGGACCCTCTAGGTAACTGACAGTATTGAGCAATAATAAACCAAGCTGTACTCAAAATAATGGAACTGGGGGGTGTGAGGTGGCAACACAAAATCAGGAATGTGTTTTCTTTCTACTTTTTCTTGTTTTCACAATTAGATGTTACTTTTTGCTAAAACATAAATGTAATTTAATTTTAGATGTGTTTATGTATACTATTTTTATTTCTAAAAAAAAAATATCTGTATTATAATTTACAAATGTATTAATTTTGATACTCCTTTACCCTGGCTGACGCAGAATGGAGAGGATCAAAGAATGCCAACCTCCTTTTAAAAAATGATTAGGAACTTTATTGTAGTATTTAGTGACCCTGAGGGAAGTTTGAATTTAAATTTTAGACAAAGGTTCCGATTTCTTCTTAAGGGTAGTGTCAGTTCTCTTTTACAGGGAGGCCTGCAGATGGTAAGCCCCTGCTGAAATTGCAAATAAATAGCTAACTGAGGGCTTTCCACTTGCAAATGGGATGATTTTACTTTTCCTTGAAGAAATTCAGTAAATTAAAAACCTGTAAATAGCACAGAAATTTCAGTCCTCCAGATCGCCTTCTCCTTCTCAGATTTTGCTGTACTATATTCAGCACTAAGTTTTGCCAACACCGAACATGCCTGATGTGGCATTTACATTCTTTAAAAAAAGCATAGATTAGTTATATTTCTAAGAGTTAACTTCTCCTCTTGACACATGTACTTAATTCCCATTAATGGAAATGGCAGCTAGGCATGCACACTGAAAGGAAAAATCTGTTCCTGAGCATATGATCCAAACTGCATTGTAGCTAAACATTTCCATACTCTGAAGTAAGCACTCATTATTTGTGAGATATTCTTCATAGTAAATGCATCAGTCCCACTCTATTCTGCCTCCACTCTCTCATAACCTGTTCCAAAACACCCTTTCTTAGAAATCTTACAGATTCGTTCTTAATGCTGCAGTTGTTTTGGATGCATGCCTAAAAAAGAAAATCCATTTAGGACCTTCAGAGTTTTGCATTTTTTCTGTGAGAATTTTCCAGTAAATCATTCTGTGAAACATCATATATTTTCCTTGGATTTTTTAGGTCTCTATTATTAAAACCTACAGTGGAAACAACAAAACCCAAAAAGCTTTTTTTTTTTCTTTTCTTTTTCCCAACCCTTCCTTTACTTACTGTATTGCAGTATCTGCCAAAGGCACTAGGCTAAAGTGCTATCATTTGATGATTATAAAAAAAAAATAATTAATGTTTCATTTAAGGTTTTCCTTCTGCCAATATGCTTGTATAAAGACCTGTGGGTTCTATTTGTGTAACATTCCAGATTTATGGTATGTCTAACTTGAGCTGGGTAGATGATTGATTTTTTTGGTTTACCTGTTGAACTGGAAAACCACAATAGCAACAAGTCAGTTAAACACAAAAAATTAGATAGGAGTTTATGATTTTTTCCCTTGCCTAAATGAAAATCAGAGCTTTTTTTTGTTAAGTTTGACCCAAATTATCTTGTTTTACTTGGATTTGTTTGTTTTGGGTGCCCCTTAAAGGAAGCAAAGGAAGAGAAGTGCAGATTCACTGCTGGGGGAGGGATGGGGGAGATTTCATTTTTCTCAGCAGTTGAAGATATTTGAACTCATATCCTGAATTGTCAGTTTGAGAAGAGAATTGAGAGAACTGAACATGGATCTCTCAGGTTGCAAGTGGGTTTTGTAACTACAACCTGCTAGGAAAAAAAAAGGGGCGTAAGGGCTTGCTATTAGTAGTAACCTGTGTTAAAAGGTGGACAGTTGTGTGTTACATACATTTTCTTCTTTCTCGATCAGTGTTTATTTACCCCAGTTCCTCAGTTCTTCCCCTTTCTGATATGACAGCAGCCTTTGTAATATGTCCTAGCAATTTCTAAAAAGCAAGCCTTAAAGTTAATATGAAATGATTTGTAGAAAGGTTTCAGAGATTCCCTCAAACCATTTGTTCAACTTGCTTTTTTGTCCTCTCACTATTCCAGTTGAACTTACTATGATAACATGATTTTCTTGATAAGTCTATACAATAGACCGTTAATAATCCAATAATAACAACACAATGATACAGCAATGCAATATAATATTAATACAATAGTAGCAGCAATTTTTTTCTGCTTTTCAGACTCAACTCTAATCCCTGCCCATCCTCAGCTGGGAGAGGGAGCTCAGTAGTTGCAGAAAACACAAGATGAAGGAAACTAGGAAGCAGGTTAGGTACCTGAGCACAAAATGCAATCAGGTAAATGTAAACCAGGGTAAAGGAAAAGAAGGGTTCATGTCACATTTATTCAGGGGAATGATCTCTACTTCCTTCCTTTCTTCCATTTCCTCTCCCCTTCTCTGCTCTCCCTCTTGCTCAGTTATCTTTGTTTTCTCCCCTGCACATTAATTTGCTTTTTCCTCCCTTTTATTGTGGTGCTTTGTACTTCTTCCTAGTGAAGCCAGTGCCCTGTTCCGTAATTCCTAATGTTGGTAGTGATTGCTTGGGTTTATAATAATACTAGCTGAGAGCCAGGAACCCAAGGAGCCTGATTGTGCTATACCAGCTTGGAGGAGTATGTGATTATTGCCCTGAAGAAGCTCAAATGGGAAATTATATGGGAAGGGGTAAATACATGTGAACAGATGACAGAAAGATGATGTAGAAGAAGGGCAGTTGTGGAGTGGAGCATAGTTGAAAAAAAGATAGGAGGTTTGAGAGCTGAGTGGAGCTAATGTGCAGTCAAAATATGATAGTCCTGCCAAAACTGTTGAATTATTTTTTTTTGGAAAAAGGTCTTCTTAATCTTCCTCCAGCTGGGGCTTCTGAGTAGCATCTCTCCGCATACTTCGCCCAAGGCCAAATGTGACAGCATAGGGGAAGGAAACCAAAAAGTGGCAGAGAAGGAACAACATTTATGGAGAGGTCCTGGTGCATCAAGGGAAAATGAAAGACTAAGAAAAGGGGCCTCACAAATGTGAATATAGCAATGAATGTACCAAATAGTAGATGCAAGAGTGATGCCTTTGTGGGGAAAAAAAACCTAAAATATACACAGTGTTTTAGCAGCATAGGGACTATTATCGAGTGTAAGGCACACAGGATCTTTGTTTTTCACCCTTTTGCTGGAATTGGCTAACTGTGTCAGCTTGGGCAAGCTGCTAAGCCTGTCTGCATCTCAGTTTCCTTATTTGAGGCCAAATTCTCCTACTAAGAAGCCTCCTACTCCACACAGAGATTTGCTGATTTCAATGGAGCCCCTGCGGAGCAAGATACTTTTCAATACAAATAAAGTTTTGGAATAGGCCCTAATTATATTTATTACCTGCCGAGGAGTAATGTGAGACTTAACATGGTTTGAGACCCTCGGATGAAAGTATTTGGAATTGTTCCTTTTAATCATCTGCTGCCTTTTCAATGTCTGCTTCATAGCTGTCCTAAAAGGGCTGGCTACTAAATAACGAATGAAAAACCCTTGCACATGTTAACTAGGTTTGTCAGACTCCTATGAATGGACCTCTGTGGAAAAATATTACTTCCTAGGGGCTACTGAAGGAGGGCAGTTTACCGTGCCCCACAGTGAGGAGCCATTAGCTCTACCTCATGCCAGAAGCTGACAGATTGTACAGGACTGCGCTGGGAGCGCGAGGCAGGCTCGGGGGCGGCCTTCGCGGATCCACGCCTGGGAGCGGCGGCGAAGGCGCCTTCGCGAACTTCGCTGCGGCGTTTTGTTTCGTCCGTGGTCTCGTGCTCTGTGGGGATGATGTGCACAAGCTACAAGTGGGTTTGCTACTTGTGATTTAAATCAGCATCCCAGGCTTCTAGCCGCTGATGCCTTTATGCCCACACCGGACTGGCTGGCCCCTCTGTGAGCCCGATCTTTTATAACGTGCACATTGAGAGGGAAAGGAGTGAGTCCAGCAGTGTAGCTGTCAGATATTAATAAAAATACTAAGCTTTTCTATTTGGAATTTTTTTAAGCCAGTGGGCATGAAAATGTGGAACATTTTATGGCCGTTCTGTGTGCATATGCAGACATATTTCAAAAAGTAAACTTGCATTCTCCGTGTCCCTGGGAGGCAGGGAAAAGAGGGGAAGAGAGGGGGCAGTGGACCTAATCAAACTGTTGTGGGGTCAAAACCTCGTGGTTTTTTAAAGGCCCTTAATGTTGTCCAGCTGCAAATTAAAGGGGGGG